CCCCAGCGCGAGGATCTGGCCCTCCGCTAGCTCGGAGACCTGTTGTCTGAGCAGCTCCGTGCGCCTGCGCCGCATTCGCGTCGCCGTTGCCGTCGTCGTCGTCGCTGCCGTGGCGACGGCCTTCGTTTCCGAAGTGGTTCGGCGGTCTTCGGGAAGGCGGGAAGAGAAGGACGAGGACGGGGAGGACGAGGAAGAGGACATACGATCAGATACGTGAGGCCCGTCGGGCTCCTCGATCCCCGAGGAGGAGGAGGAGGAGGAGGAGGAGGAGGAAGAGACGGAGGAGCAGCAGGAGGTCAAGGCGAGTCGGGTCACGCTAGCTGGCGCAGCGCAGCACCAGGAGGAGGAACGGGAACAGCAGGAGGAGGGGGCGAGAGGGTGGAGGGGGGGGGCAGCGTGAGAACGAGGAGGATGGGCAGCGGGAGGGCGAGGAGGAGGAAAAGGAGGAGGAGGTGTTAGCCGTGGCCGTCGCCGATACTGCCGTCGCACTCCTCCTGTCCTCCCCGTCTCCGCATTCGTGCTCCCTCATCGCCTCTTCTGTCATTCGCGCGACTGGAATCGCTCACTCACTCCCTCACTCCTCCCCCTCCGCTTCCTCCTGCCCTCCACCTCCGTGTCGTCGTCCTCCTACTCCTCCTCCTCCTCCGACGCTCCTTCATCTCCTCTACGTCATTCCTCCTTCTCCCAAATCCCGTCCTTCCCCCTCCGTTTCCACATCCTCTCCTCCTCCCAATCATGAGAGGGGTGGAGGGGGGAGGGGGGAGGCGAACGCCAAGCTAGGAACGCAAGCGTCATATCTGACATCCTACCCCTCCCTCCCTGCCCTTACCATTGCATAGATCTCCTCTTGATTTGCACGTTCAGATGTCGAACAGTGCAATGGCCTCGGAAGAGAGAGAGAGAGTACACGATGCATGGTACAGCACGGCATAGCATGGCATCGCGTCGAGAACGCGACCCCTGTCGACAACAAGGGCAGAGGGAAGCCTGACATGGCAAAAGACGGGGAATGCAACTGGTCGATTTGGAAAGCGGGAAACGCAAACTGAGATCAGCGCTGCAGCGGGAGCACCATTTACCGAAACCGCAGAAATCAGACCAGCGCTGCAGTGGGAGCACGAGTTAGAAGTAATGGAAGCGTGGAAACGAAGCCAACGCTGTAACAGGAGTAAGATTTGGAAGGGCCAAAACCATGAAATGAGGTCAGCGTCACAGCAGGAACATGATTGGGATGGAACCAACGCTGTAGCGGGAGCGCCAATCTGAAAGGACTGCAAAAACGTTCGAATTGGAAAAACGGATCTTGATTAACTATCAATTCGGCGACAACTGTTGTGTCAGCCGTCTTGGGGTAGAGAGCAGAGTAGTTTTCAGTGCGTGTAAGTGCGAGGGTGAGGAGAGGATGGGGACATATGGGGAGGGTGGTGAGGAAGGGCAGGGGAGGGAGTGGGGCTGTGGGAAGCGAGGGGGAGACAGTAAGGGAATGAAGGAGGGGGATGAAGGAGGGGGCGGGAGGAGAAGAGGGTCGGAGAAGAAGGGGGCGGAAGAGGCAAAGCGGAGCAAAAGTGTGGATTGAGGGGGTGGAGGGAGGAGAGGGAAAGGAGATGGGGAAGGGGAGGGGAGGGAGGGGAGAAGGGCAAGAATGAGACGAATGTTTAGGTGAGGGGATGCGAGGGATTTGGGGGAGGGAGTGGCAAGGGAGCAGATGAGGAAGAATCGGCGACGGGGTAGGGAGAAGGCTCGGATTCGGAAACGCAATGGTGGTCGAATGGGATCACCCCGCCCAATGTTCTCCCATCTTGCGACGCCACCCCTGCCATCACACCCTGCCGTCTACCCTGCCATCCCCATCCCAACATCCCACCCAACCCCAACCGCCCCGCCGAATCGAATCGCTCAAACCTCTCAGGGTGGCCCGTTAGAAGCACATCATGTATTGCTCAAGCCCCGTCCTGATCCCTCCAACTCCACGGGGCTACACTCCACCCGAGATCCCAACTTAGAAGGCCCAAAGCGGGTTGAGGCATTATTATTCGGCCCCAAGGCGGATGCACTGATGACTCAATCATGCGGATACTTACAGTGTGTGCTGGCATGCTTTGACATCCAATGTGAACCGCCCCCCAAAGGGAAACGATTTGAGCCTCCAAGTGTTCCAAATGCGTCCCTCCAGCATTCGATCCGAGCAGGCCGCACCAGAGCACAAGAGCACTCAAGACCAAAGAGGGCCATGCAGGACCAAGCCAGACCAGACCAACAATGATAAAGACCAGAGGGATCCAGAGGGGGATGCTTGCATACAAGTGGAAGCCTCCACCTCCTCCGCCCACTCTCCCCTCCTATCCGCTCCGCCCGTCTTCGCTGACCGCTGACGCCACCCTCGCCTTTTCCACCCGATACATCCTCTCCGTCTGTGTGACATTCTCCTTTTCCGTTCATTCTCCAACTCCTGCGCCCATCGCTCCTGGACATCCTCTCTCCTCCCTAACTGATCACTTTAACCGCGAAAGGTCTTTAGGACCCTCCCCTCCCAACAATGGAACCGAATTTGCCACAAGCACACACACACATCAACCCAGAACCTCCAGGACTATGTTTTTCTCTACACCGACGGAACCTGCAGCCCGCCAGCCAGCCCGTCCAGCCCCGCTCAGCACGTGCACTTGGACGATCGGAGGTTCCACGGCGTTCGTGGTCGTAGCGCCGTCCCGAAGCTCCTTCTGGAGGAGCGTACCTCAAGGCCATTGTCGCGGCGTGCTTTGCCCAGCCCGAAGCTGGGAGGCCAAACGCAAGGTCCACCCAAAGCAAAGGGTCCGACCACGCAGTCACCAAGGACACCTCCCGCATGAAACGTGCGCTGCGCTTCACCACCACTGGAAGGATAAACGGGTGGACGTGGCGGAGGATATCATTCTCCAGGGGTCTTGTGGTGACCGATAATGCCGACAAAGCGTCGATCATTTCAACCAGCTGTTTTCGGACGTCCGCGACGCTCTCCAATCCATGGTCCAAGGCGTACTGAAGCAGAGGATACAAACGCAAAGGATGTTGAACTGCAAGGCCTCAGCTTAGGTGGAATACCGGCCGCAAACCTTCAGGTAGAAACTGGGGCAAAACCCGGCGAGTCGGTTGAAGCCCAGCCACGGTCCGAAACGATACGCTCGTCGTGGTTCTCCCGCCAGATGGGGAAAAGCCTGAGTACTCCGCCCCTGGGCGGCGCAATGATTCCCGCCAGGTGCGCCGTAGCTTGCCCCAGCGGCATCTGTTGGGCCCACCGCCACGCTTCTTAGACCCCGGGTGCAAAAGACTGCCAGCAAGCTGAAGAAATGGACGCCCACGTCTGGCCACACTCGAACTGACCCTCGCGATGCCCGTGGCCGAGGCCACAAGGGCACGCAGCGGCAAGCTCCAAGACACAACGATGATTGGCCGCCAACGTCAGCTCCTGCCCCCACGGAACTCCATCTACGAACACCGACCGCACCACCAATGATGTTTCCGTACATCGGATGACGTCGAAAATGTTGTGAAATTGGCGCCACGGACGAGTGAGACGAGACTGTCGCCGAAGGCGCAACGAGCCTGTTGCTCGGTGCTGCGCCCAGGCTAATTTGGAAACCAGCTGGGCCAACAGGTTCTCCATCCGAACCTCTTGACCACCATCTCCGAACAGGGTCTGGCCGGCCCGCCGGACCACGCGGCGAGCGCACGGCGGACACAGGACCGCGGTTGCGCGGCATGCTGCAGGATCCAAGAGGAGGGGCTACATGCAACAACCCCACCCGTTGCCCTCCATGAGAAGACCCAGGATGATCGAAAAGAAAATGTCCGCTCGAGAGGACCAACGGGGCAACAGCGCGGCGAAGCGTGGATGCCCTTCCAAATGCCTCTCATGTGGTAGTCCACGAGGAGCCAGCTGAGGGAGATTACGCCGTTGCGCTGCTCGGCCCGACCCTCAAAGCTCGATGTCTCCACTTCGGCTGGCAAGGGGACGAGCTCGTCTAGAGGGCCCGGGCCACCGGGCCCGCCGGGCGCGACCCCGACAGCGCGCCCGCGACCGCTGGCGCAACTCTGCCGGCAAGCAGCCCACGGCCCATTCACCTTGGCATTGTCTGCGAGGGACTCGCGCGAACGCCCCCCTGATTTGGCCACACTGCCGAGAGTCTCGTCTACGTCTGTCTTCGCAGCGCAAGCGAGGGCGAGGTCGGACGCGCCGCAAAACCCCTGCGCCTCGAAGAACGTCTTGATCGGTGAAGCCTCACCATAGATGCAAGCAACCATCCAGTCCAACGGCGCTTGGAGCACGTTTGCCACGTTCGGGCGGGAGCCCTGGGCGGCACTATCCGCGGACGACGGGCCGGCGACGAACAGATGGCTCAGCCCTCAGTCAAAAAAAGTTGGGCAAAAGGCTACGGAAAGCAGAGGCAGCAGTCGTTTCCCTGGCGCCGCGCCTCAGTTCCGGCTTCACTCAGGCCACCCGGCCCTGAAACAAATTGCTCGACCACGAAGCATCCTCGGATGAAAGCGCCATCGGATGAGTTTGGCCATGCCGAGTTTGACCGGGCGAGTCGGGCGCCGGAGGAGTCAGCCCAGTTTCAAAATCTCCGTGGACCCCCTGGAAAGCCCGAGGCGCTGCCTCGCACTCGCGCCCCGAAGGGCCACGGGTGGCACGGCGGATCCAGGCCAAACCCCGCCGCGCCAAGGGGGGGTCAGCCGCGCCCCCCCCTGAACCTCCGGGACCGCACCTTCCTCTGCGCCGACGGAACCTGCAGCCCGCCGACCAACCCACTAGCCCCGCTCAGCACGCGCGCTCGGACGGTCAGGGGTGCCGCGGTGTTCGCGGGGTACGTGGAAGCCCCCCTGGGACGCAGCGCCGCCCCGAAGCTCCCGCGACTACCCCGACACCCGCGAACGCCCCGCCCGGCGAAGGACGGGGAAACCGCGGCGCTTCGGCGCACCCGCGGAAACCCTACCCCAGTGTAGAGAAAGCGCACTGAAGCGCCCTGGAGCGCCGGACGCCCCCCCATCCAGTCTCTCACGATGGCGGGCGCGCTGCCAAGTAGG